TTTTGTTGTGACGATGTTACCTCACTCTGATGATGTCCGTCATATGACGGACGAAAGCTTAGCACCTTTTTACCGGAGTCGAAGGAGATTGCCTCGGAAACAGCGTCAGCATGAATCTTCCAATGAAGCTAATCGACAGCTGGTCAAGAGGAATGCGCCGTTGTCTTCTATTGGAACCGACCTTCGAATCTCTTAACCCAACACTTTCACTCGAAATGGAAGTAAGCTCAACAATTATGAAACATAATATTCCTCGTAACTCAACTTTTCTTCGCATACGATAATACGCCCAGTCACTAGCTCGATCCTGGAAAAAGCACACGTCAACAAGGTCGGGAATGCAAAAAGGGGTACGCTCTTCAAAGCCTATGGGAAAAACATTAAGTTGCTAGAACGGAGCCAAATCAACTTATTCTAATCCTGTTTCTCGGTGATTCCACCATAGCTAACAAAATGTTGAGTTCACGACCAGTCTTTTTAATGTCCTCCTTTCACTACAGGTTCTACTAGTTCAGATACCTGGAATCATGAACATTTGAAAACGGCTTGACGTCAAGAAATTCTCTTCGTAGTTGGCCGATATATAGGCGATCAAAGGAACGCGAGATGATATAGCAGCCAGATTCCAATAATAGTCTACTCTCGTCGTTACAAAAGGGCATAGCTGTGAAAGGTTTTACAGTCTTTATATGTGCTGTCTCATCCCTTCGTCACATGCTTATGTTTGTGCATGAATTGCTGGTTCCGATTAGTACTAAGGTTATACTTATCGAATCCCAACTTCTTTTGATGTTTGAGCATTTTGTAATGGCTTGAGTCCAAAAAGTTCTCCATTGTACTACAATGTACTGATAAAAGACTTGGCAAGAGAAAACTGTGGCATAATATAAAGTACAAGTGAGAGGGGCAGGTAAGGGTGGCGCACGGGTTCAGGTGCATTCGTCACTGCGTGATTTGTGAAAGTGTGTGAGCGGGTGTGTGTAAACTTCTGATTGCTGCCGAGCAGTGTGGTAGGTCCAATGGTATAGTTCATAGGCGGTTGACGTGAATGCGATTGGAAGACGGTCTCAGAGTATGAGGCGGGATGAGACACATTCATAGCTGGCCTCTGCGTGAAATGAGAGATGGCTTGGCAACAGATGCAGTCACGTAATGAGACCAACCATTTTAATGATGAATATTTGGAGGCATTGAAATTATGATGTGTAAATCAAAAGTATGGATGCAACCGTAAAAGGCAATATTTACAAGGAGGCAGGGAGAAAAGAGCTGAATATATGGTATCGTGCGTAATTTATAAAATAATATATTGGCCATGACCCTCAGTATTCATTCAAACCGCAGCTGCATAAACGGCTAGCGGAAAGACATCTCGAATCTCGATATAAATAACAGACAATAGACCTATTCTTCTTCTGTTAAAAATTGAAACAAAAAACAAGTCCGAAAATAAATACCTAATAGATGCTTAGCCTTACCTGCTCAGCCAGGCTAGTGAGATCTTTGGAGGTGTCTGAGTTGATAGCCTCCGTCGGCGTTGTCCGGCGTACAAGCAAGGCACGCCGTACAGTTTCCGTAATGAAGGCCAAGAGCCGATTCAAACAGTCCAGGCTCGCTTCCAAACAGTCCACCTCTCGGCACACCTGAGGAGCTTTCGACCAATCAAAAGGAGTTGGAATGGAGGCGAGAGCGATCTTGGACCTTGCACAGTCCGGATTGATGGCTTTAGAAGATGGATGCGAAGGGGATGACGAAGGAGTGTTGGTACAAGCTGAGGAGATAGCCGTATTGTAGTAATCTCCCCGGCCTGATGCCAACTCAGCTGCAGGATCGACTCCACGGATAACAACTTTCTGAATGGAGGAGACACAGGCAGGCAGGACTAGTGAAGACAGTCGAATGATGACTAGGGCCAGGCTAAAGGGCAGCCGGGCTTGCAGAACCAGTTGACAAAGTTGAGTTTCGGTAGGCCATTCGGAGAGGAGTAGGAGGAAAATGTGCAACAGATAATTAATGAGGTCAAAGGCTAGGGGAGACGATAAGAGATCCGAAGTCTCTACTATTGCCTTTTCATCTGCCCGAGATTGTTTGGTTTGGTGAACATTTCTTCTTTCTCCTGTTGCTCTAATCTCATCATCGTCATGTGCCCTCACCCCATTTCCTATGCCTACTTTTGACTGCAGACTGTTCGAACTCCGAAAATCAGAAGCAAGGCAGGCCAATAATCGAGCTGCTCGGTCGTGAAAACCATGCGTATACAAAGCCGAGACAACAGATAGTTGGTGCCGGCGCAGAAACGCCTCACCAGACTTGAATGAGGATGAAAAGGGATTCTTGCTGACTGAGTGAGGGATATTTGGGAGATTTTGGGATTGCTCTGCAGCTGCCACCGGGAACCTTGATGAGGAATGTGGTGGATCAGTGGAGGGAGTAGAACTGCAGTAGGGTTGAGACGACGGTTGTTCGCGCTTGCGGCATGATGAGTAGTGTGACTGTGAAGAGGGCGAGCAAGCCCTGTTGGAAAGCAGAAGTTTGAGAAGGCGGAGGAATGAGCAGGCTACTAGCGTATCAGAGGGGACAAGGAGACGATCGGCCTGATTGAAGACGAGTATGAAAGAGAGCGTACAATGACGAACCAGTATGAAAATATGAGATGAATAAAAACATCGTAAAGGCACGATCAAAAACAAGTGGCAAAATAGATTGCTTTAGTGTTTAAAATGCCATACTTTTGAGAGAATATCTTTTACGAATAAATATCATTTAAAATTCTACGAAAAACTTACCTTGTTGCGATTATGCTTAACATTTATACGCTGCCCTGGTCAAATAAGTAATGTTGGAGTTACTTTTAACTATGATGAACCAGTGAGAAGGCAAATAGACTGACTTTTCGATGTTGACGATTATTAAGACAAGTATGGCTTTCAAGGATATTCAGAAAGGCAGGAATCTAATAAAGAAGTATATAAGTGATGAAAAGCTGAGTTTCACATTATTAGACTTTTCACTATTTATGAAATAATGGATAAAAAAGATAGGAAAATTGGTTGATTGCCTTGAATTTGTGGACGGATAGTACATATAGTTTCCGTTCCTTTCAGAATTCGTCATAAACAAAAACAACAAAATTGATAGCCAGACAAGTCAATCGCATTCGTTCTTTGAAGCTTTGCTCTTCACGTAGATTTAGCCCTAGATTTTATGTTATGTCTTGAACAAAAACGAGTCTTTCGGGCGTATGCCATCATTTGGTTGATGGAAAACAGTTATGTGTTGCACTCAATAATTAGAATAAAGACCAGACTTAGGCCTATCTAGTATAAAGTTTTTAGTTCAGAAGACTTCCTTAAGCTCTAAACAGTGGCGGATAAGTCGTATGATGGAGTTCTCAACAGGAAAGAAACTTAAGAACTTGGGAATAAAATATAGATGGAGGAAATATAAGGAGGTATCATCAACGTAAGTTAAAGGAAAGGTTAGCTTATGTATGAGTGGTATTCCCGCAATTTCGTTAAGGTAATAAAGGACTGATAGTTGAATTACAATGATAAGAATAGACCTAAAGTCTCCATTGAATTTGCCATATCCTTGCTTTCCAAAGTCCCAGTTGGAGTGGACTGGTTTAGACCTCGCCTAGGTCTCATCAGCACCCCCAGCAGGACTTCAACTGTGATAGTGTAGCGTGTAATCTAGACACGTTAACTACCACAAATGCGGCTGGATCACAGGACAGATGTGAATTTAAAGGCCAGGTATTTTCCAATAGCATTGTAAGAAAATTGTCCTACCAGTCCTTGATTCACTTTATAAGAATAGGACTGTTAATAATACCATAAGGGAACTGTGGAAAAATAAACAAATATTTATGAGGACAGATAAATGTGGGTAGTCGTAGTCATGGGTGGTGCAAAAGCTGTGTAGAAAAGGTTGCATGCTTTAGGTTAATATGAAACATTCATAGTTATAATTAAGGACCCAACAGAAGGTCTAAGGGCCATACCCAAAGGTCGCCTGCAAGAGTGCGTAAAAAGCGAGGAACTGGAGAAGTAGGAAATGAACACAATTATACAGTGATGCTAACCACCAAATGCCTATGATCTGCCCAAGCTTCGTAAGGGAGGTCCCCCCTTAATAAATAATAAAGGTTCAGTTATGCATAAAATCTTGCGTTCTATTTATACACAATTGGGGCAAAACTCTGAACCGTGGAGGTTAGACTTAGTTAAGTAAATAGATGAGCAATCGATAAAAAGTGGTGACTTGTCTGTAAATTTCGATGTAGTGTCTGTGTACACTAATATGCTGATAAATGGGGCTACACAAGCTTTAGAGACAATGTTAGATCCACAACCGGAGATCTTAACAGATAAAAGTTAATTAATCTCTATCATTAGATTGAATAATTTAGTTATAAATAGTACATATTTTCTCTTCAAAGGTAAGTTCTATGAGCAAACATGCGGTTTAGTTGAGACAGTGTTTAGCAACAATTCTAGCTAATGACTATATGACTTATTTAAAAGATCAATCAACGCAAGAAGCATCCTTAGTTCTCAGGCTATTCATTTGATAGATGGACGATTACTTTACTGTTTGGCAACATGGCAAAAATAAGTTAGATGCGTTTATGGCGATACTGAACAGAGTATATGGAAAAGCTAAATTTACAATGAAGTTATAAAAGAATGAAAAGTTACTTTTTCTAAATACAAATAAAGAAGGTACTAGGTTTGGTAGAAACGTTTTTAGGAATCTCGCACATGCGGGCTTCATATTTAAAAAAAAATGTAATCATACATATTGGATCAAAGTTGGAACAATGAAATCGCTGCCAATAATGAGGCTTCGTCTTGCAAATGCCAGTCATTGGAAGCAAGAAATAAGTAGATCGAGAAGTATCTTAGTTTAAAATAATTATCCAATAGGATTTATTAAGAATTACTTTCCATTACTCAAATAGACCGCAGTGTTATAGCTATTTAGGACAGGAGAGAAAGATATAACACTTTACTTGTTTATTATGGTTGCCACCCTTTCAGATTTCGAAAATGATGGGTGGATTTCTGAGGAAGTGGAACATCAGAACAATGTGTAACGAGAAGTTAACATTATAGTAAGTTAGTTCACTTGTATGAAAAATTTTGGGCTCTCTTTCCAAATCAAGATGCTACAAGCTTTTGTGTTAATGTGGTAACGTCCTGCGGACCAATAGGAAGAAGGTTGTCTAAACAGAAAACTGCCTGAAAACGTCTGTGGGTTTAAAGTTCCGAGCTATCTGGAAACATGATAATACATTACACGAAATATAATAGTCCACAAAACGTTTTGCAGGCTAGAGGGGTTACAAATATAAGTATAAGATCAGGGAATCTATAAAAATAAACGAAACAGCCAACTTCCTGAATAGGATAATTGAATGTAGGAAACTGATAAGTATGTGGGATAGAATTAGGGAAAGATTGGAAGAGAGGGAAGAATATAAACCGATGAGTGAGAAGAGGAAGCGTGAGTAACTTTGAGTATGATAAAACAATACCAGATTCGTAAATAACTGCATGCTCATACGTTTGATTAATTAGAAATAAAAAATAGATGCTTCAATATCAGCCTAGCCTATTTACAAGAAAGTAGGTTAGGCATGAAATAACCAACAAAAGCATGGGACACTTCATTCGGATTGTAAAATTAGGTATAAGAAGTCAAGGGCTACTCTCATTTTCTTGGCTTATTGTATTTAGTGTGTTTTCTCACAAAGTATAGTTTCTCGCTCTGACGATGTCTGTACATGACAGACAAAAGCTTAGCACAAGTTTATCGGGATTGTAATACAGCAAGACGAAGACTCTCTAAGTGCTTGCTCTGGCTGCGAATCTCGTAGCGGGAGTTCCTTTCATGTCTACTTGAGGCCCAAACTTGATAAAAATGCAGAAGTACAGTTAAATTCCTTGCCAAAATCGAGCTAGTTCAAACGTGAGGCAGCGGAACGTGTCTTGCAATTCTCGATATATATGCTGATTGAGACAAATAGAGTTACTGATAATCAGCAGCCTTGCACCTAGTAAATAACAGGCATATATTAAAAAATGATACAAAGAAAATGGAGCAAAAATAAAAGAAGTCCATGGTAGAAGCTAATCGTAGCAAAATCAGATGAAGATGCACGGAAGATGCAGATGACTTTGTTAGTAGTTTTGAGAAATAGGCAAAAAAAGAAATTATCTATGAGTAAACAAAAATTTGATTACTTTCCACTATAATTAAATGCATAACAACAGGGGTTAAGGAGCTCCGAGCTTTACATTAGCTTATTTACAAACCAATTAATTTAACATTAGTTATTCAAAGGTATAAAACAATTGAGTAACGCATCCATAAAGCTTACATGGAGGGTATAGAAGAGGGCGGGGCAAAAGAGTAAAGTGACAAATAATCCACATTCACAAATGAGAATAGTTTACTTTGGTCCTGATTCTTGCTCATCTTTAGTCAAGCTAAGGGCACTTTTAAGAGCACATTCTTAGTGGAGACCCACGAGAGACACAACCACAATTGGAAGAGCATAACCGAGTAAGACTATCGTAGCCAGATTCATCATAAAGTTTGCATTATACGTTTGATGTTTAGCCATTTGAATACGCCCTCAAGTCAAAAGATATGATAGTTAAGTCGAGTCAGAGGTCAGCGAAATTAATAAGAAAAGGATTTGTAAAAGAAGATGAAAAAGGAAATGAATGAATGGTATGGCTTTGGTTAGGACACACGAAGTGTAAAGAAGTGGAACTAATGGTTAATATGAAGTTTCAACTAGGTGAACCAATTTGCTGCCTATTTCAAGTTTATCTGAACGAACGGGCCAGATATGAGTCTTGGCAATATAAATTGGATGAGAGGCGGGATGACATGAGGGATGATTATAATGAGATTTAAGGACTTTTGGTAATTGGAGCTTGTTTTATCAGCCTCTTTAACAAGAAGGATAATTTGAGACTATACCAACGAAAAATTTACGAATGTACCTGTGAAATAGACCGATAATTGAACGACAAGAGGCTTCCGTGAAAAGGGGCGAAATACAGAT